AACCTGAAATTTGTTTTTTCACCGTTTTCGCCTTCTACTCACTGCCGATGGGCTTTCCAAGCAACTTACGGCCACGTGCGATCCATTTGACCGTAAGTCGTGTGACGCCCATCCCACGTTCGTGCAAAAGCCATAGCGATATTTTGACCGGGCTCCCGCCAACTACGGCTGAAGGCCGTCGGCCATCACGAGAGCTCTCACGCACCGCGCACGTGGATCGCACACGGCCGTAAGTGGCTTGATAGTAAAAGGCTGGAAACGGTGAAAAACAAGTCTCTGGTTGTGAACGGTGTCGCATCCCATTCGACAGTATTTTTTGGGTCAGAATTAACATTCATTCAATCTCACAATGTAGTGGGTTAGATTGAGTACGTGGCGCATTCTGGGCGACTTTTGTGACCCATCTTTCTGTGCAGCGCTTGTTCGCAGAAGCGGGATCATATACACATCACAAGTAATTAAATACTTCTTGAGATGAAAGTCGAGCGCATGGCGCAATCCAGGATGGTGGCTTCAGAAAACATGAGATTAAATTCTAATAGAATTCAACGAGCTGAACTCAACATGCTCTGATTTTGAAAAGCTCTCAACTTTGAATCGAGTTAAAACAGAAAAACGAATATAAAGCGTTTTCGCGTGAATTTTGCAGTGTTTACGGCGAGTACCTAATCGCAGAATTTTGATTTAAACGACCTGCAGTGGTAATGGAAAGGGAGCATTCGTACACTTCCCCCGAAGTAGAAACTAAAAGCATTCTTGACTCACTGTTCCAACTTACCCACTTATCTTTCCATTCATAGCGCTTTTTCTTCACTTCTGGCATTCTTTTCATTCATATGAGAAGAAACAAGAAGAAAAAGAGAAATTTGTCGGAACAAAAATTCTGCATGACTCAGAAAAACATTCCTAAATAATAAAGCATACGTAAGCTTTCGGTAAAATCTATTATTTACGGTTGCGTATGAATTCCTATTTACACATTCACGCCGATGGGCTGCCAACTGATAATTGCTTGCCAGGCGCTAGGAATGGATAGATAGGTGGGTAAAGCTCGTGATCTAGTGTAAAGTGCTTTTGGATACCTTCACAGGGAAAGTGAATAAATGCTCTCTTTTCGTAACCACTATTTGTCGTTCTAATCGAAATCCTGCTAATATATGTTAACTAATCTTAAAATCGCGTCCGTCCCACGCGACCGAACCGAAAAGTGGAAAAGAAGCGTCGTCGTTAATGAGCTTGGTCGCTGATATCAGATATACCCAAAACAATGACGACATAAACGATTGACAAGCGGGCTGCTCGGCTGGCAGTATGCCATCGTCCCATGAGCATCTTTCCTTGGCAGGCCATATAGGCTGCTGACGAGAATGTGTTAAGGTGAACGCTCAGGTCTGCCTTTCTGCTAAAATGGCTTAAGTTTGAGGGCGAGGGGCCATCTTCTGGGATGGCTTATCGAAAGGGTGATCAGAGGGACGTTAGGCGTTGCTCAGTCGTCACAGGCAATATAAGCGCCACGTGCCTTTTGGGGCCTAAGGGTATCCCCAGAAGGCCCATCGCGCAGCAAGGAGGCAGAGTCGGCGAACGAGTTTCAGCGCGTGGAGTGCGGTGAAAGCCGTGCAGTGGGACACTCTATTTAACTCGACGCGAAATCCCCATAGTACGCGCGCGACTCGTCTGCTGGCTTTGCCTTCTTGCTGCGCGAGGGGCCTGCTAGGGGTGCCCTGGGGCCTAAGTCCCCTTGCACTAGGCGCAGTTACCCTTGTCCAGCATTTTATTTATTAGGTTGTCGGAAAAGTCTTTAGCCATTTCGATCTGCATTTTGTAAAATCTCCAAGGATAATTTTTGTACACCCACTGTGAAACGTATATAAGCCCTAGTCAATGACCTCTTTATGGCTTATCTGTCGTGGTTTCTCATAGCGACTTTAAAAAAGGATAAAGCATTTGCCGTTGATCAATCCCTTTTTGGGATGCGGCACGCATTCTACTTCCACTTGTACATTCGCAGTGGCGTTTGATGCGATGTGGCCTATACAATGACTTGCGGAGGCCAGCCGATGTTCAAGTCAGTGTTTTTATCCTCCCAGACAAGTCTGGTACAAATTAACCGACCCCAGAGGGATGGAAGGCTTGGTTGGCCCGGGCGACTCACGACCCAGGATTTGATCCCGGACTGGTCGCGTGGTAAGCGCGCCACTTGCCACTAGTACACCACTTCCGCCCCTCATAGCGACTATAGCTGAGAAAATCGTTTTTTGACTGAAAGCATGTTTGGCTACTCATGTTTCTAAAACCCAGAACATGCGTTAGTGGAAGCGATGCGACAAGAGCTCTCGTCCTGTGATGTCTCTCGTCTTGACTGTGAGCCTCAACCACTACAGCTGTGAATCACTGAGGGAATTTAAAAGGCACGATTGAGATCAGCGTTTGAAACTGTATGTAATAGTGACATTCGTCTTGATGGCCATGGCGACTTGAATCCTTTCATGTTGAGAGGATGCGAAAATATTGGAACATGAGAAAGGTTTTAATCCAATGATTCAAGATTTTTTCCGTGATCATCCCGTTAGATGTGGCACGTCATTTTCCTTTTGATTGTTAGTGGGGCTTGAATGCATGTGGCGTACAATGGACCTTGCGGAGCGTAGCTGATGCACAAGTCGGTTGTTTTTATCCCTCCAGACAGACTGGTCAATTTAACTCGGAGCAAGACCGGAATTCGTCCCAGGACCGTGTCGTGGTAAGCGTCCCGATTTCACTGACCATACGGTCGCCCTGAGAAAGGTATAATGTATATATATTGCTAAGATTTGCGTCGGGAGAACTAAAGTTCTATTCAGAAATAGTAGAGGGGTAGACCAAGCATAGCATTGAGATTCTTGCAACTGTGATTCTCAGCTGCAAAGCTCGCTATGAAGTCTTTTGAAAGTTGTGTGACTAAAATGGAGTTGAAGCCGCGGGGTGAATTCGAATTGGATGTCAACCTTCTGCAGTCCTGTCAATTCGAACCTCATTACCGGCCCTATGGATTGGGATGCCGTTTCTATGCTAACTCAATCCGAGAGGTTATTTATCGGTCGGTGCTTCGTCGTGAGAAATGGTATTAAGGAGATCGCTTCGTAGAAGAGGGATGTTTTTTGAGGTTGAGTGAAGTGGGTAGACGTATTTGACTTTGGGTGAGTTTTCACCTTTCTCATAAACTGACCACCAATAAACTTTTTTGGTGTAGTTATTGGTTGTAGTGGCATGGATTGCTTCCATTAAGCTTAGTCAGTTTTGATCTCGAAAGTGCTCGCCAAGTAGTGATTGAGAGCTGAGGGGAAGTAAAGCTATGGGAACTTCAAAAGAACCTTCAATATATTTTAGTTATTTGAAAAAATATAGAGAGTGATTATTTGGCGTTATATTTATACGGCGGAAGTGGTGAGAAGCTGTTTGGTCGGTGAAGTCCCTTCGACTACAGCATTGTGTCCTGGTAGAGTACAAGGAATTGTTTCGGCTTGTTCGTAAAGCTGGATCGTTGTTGGTGTTTTGACGTGTGCCATGAATTTAGCTTACCCCATTCTTGTGGTCATAACTTTTACTTCTTACAATGTTTCTGCACTATTAGACGTTTGAATGGTAAATCCTGGATGAAATTTGAGCGCTCTGAACACATGAGTAATGTGAAGGAGCGCGATACGTAAGCCGACATCAGCGGTCGTAGAATGCAGTCACTTTCACAAGGTGAAGATGCACTGACGGCATGTTCATGTTGGGTGACCAATCATTTTTGGAAATTTACTTTTGGACGCGTGGATCATTCTACTAGCATGACCTTCTTTGAATAGGGAGGAGGTGCAAAGGAAAGAACCGACTGTGTCCAGGACATCACAAGATAAGATGTTACACGTATCAACGTGAAACAGAGTCAGCTGGAGGAGGTGATAGCAACTTGTTACTTATATTGAGCGAGTGAGTCACGGAATTCTTATGGAGATAGATTAGGGGGAAAAGATTATAATGGATTGAGTCGGGTCCTATCAATGGGACGACGTTGACGCCTTCAGTGGCAGTGGCGTCTATCACGGTGAAAACGCGCCGAACCTCTATTCCGATTCGCGTGACCCTGTGTCAACGTTCACGTTGGAACCAATTTCAAAACTTGTTTACTACCAACCCCTGCTGGAGAGGCCTCGAAAGACTTCCACAGCTCTAACTATGTATATTCTAAATACAGCTGATCACTCACCCACATTTCGAATAGCGTCGAGGAGAGAGGGGGCCCTCAGCAGTGAACGGCAAATTTTTTTTCTCTTGAGTACTCACAAAGCGTTGAAGCCTCACACACACACAAATTGACGCTGCCACACATGCAATTCAACCCCCCCTTTGTCGGCCGAATAGACCTCTTCGTTTGGGCTTGGTCCAACGGACGGTTGACCTGGTTGTACCCCTTTATCAGACGTGAAGGGATGCAACAGCAGTTGAGCTAGATATGATACTGTTATCGTTATCGTTCGATTTCCATGCTGGAATGCACTCATCACGCAACGTATCTTCTTATCTAATTTCTATCTTAATCTAATATCTATCGTATCGATTCTTCATGGGGTTACGCGAGTCAATCACTACTTTCTCGACTTAGTCGGTGATAACACAGAGATACGCCTCCACTGGAAGCCAGCGTGATCGCTTCCTTAAAAGGATGCCAGAAAGCACTAGAAGACTAATAATGAAATACTAGAGATATCAACAGGATAGATTAGCTATCCTATTTAAACTCATATTGAGTGCTAATCCCATTTCTTTTATCGGCTCATTTTTCAAATTTGATCTTCGAAGCAATAGAATACTTCTCCTGACTCTCCGTTCATTCATTAACATCACTCTCTGTGTTCCAGCAACACTACAGCGATTGTTTGCCGTCTAGCACTCAAACCTCTCGCAAATTGACTTCGGTTAATGTTTTTATTATGGTTCGCTTCCAGGATTGGTCATGCGCACGGTTTTCTTTTCGTATGACTCTGCTGCTCTTTGCGAATAAAGTAGCTCCTGTACTTTACGAGGTGAGGAATTATCAATGAAGTTGGAGGAAGTTCGGCATCGTTGCTGCTTGCCGTTGGGCTGCTGTAACGAGCGAAAGCATGTGAAGCTTTGTAATGGGGAAAGCTATTAAGCGACTAACGAATCAAGGAATCTCAGAAATTCAGCAAGTAGACTACCGAGATATCAAATGAGAAGCTATAAGTAAGCTGCACTCCGCATCTAGCAGTTTTATGGAGCGCTCATAGTTGGCGATCGTACGTGCGATCAGGCGATGCTTCAAAAAAAAGCATACGTATTGAGTAGGCGATTAGGCGAGTAAGCGAGTAGGCGATGAGAGAAAGATGTGTATTGATTTGATGCTCTGCCCATCGCGCGGTTGCCTAATCGCCCAATCGCCTACTCTTCTGGTCACCTAATCGCCTACAACGTTCTATGGGCGGAGCAAACCAATCAATACGCATGTGGTGCTCCCCGCCTAATCGCCTACTCGCCTGATATCAACTCTGAACGCTCCATTACACCCACTTGTTCAGATAATGACTTGGCGAGCTGTCTGCTGTTGGCTTTTCATTTTGGGAGATCGTTTCCCTTTTATCGGCTGTATTTTCCAACTTGCCAATGTAGAGCCTTATCAATCAAAACACTATGCTTGTTGGCATGATGGCTGCTATCGGGGTTAACACGTCCGAGCAACGTCATTCTTTACCGTCTCGAAAATGAAAGAGCAACCAAAGGGCACCATTTTTGCTTTTTCCCCTTTCTCTGCCGAGTTCGCCGTCTAGGCAAGGTGCCACCTAATACGTTGTCCACTTCAGATGTGGCCTACCTCGCCCTCTGCGGGAGGTCAGCGCGAATTTCCCCCTTTCTCATTGCTTTTTGGGTGCGGACGAAGGCGAGGTCAACATGACCTATTGACCAACTATAGACTGCCTGTTCAGGAGACATTACTACCGTCCCAGGTATCATACTTGCTACTGTGCCTCGTTGAACCCGCCGTGTCTCAGGCTGTCGAACCTTATTTCTGCGTTAACTGCTTATAATCATAAAAATTTGATGGTATCTTGTGTAAAGGCCCTATACGAAAGGTCATAGTGTGGCTGATTAAAGGCAAGCTCCCGATGAAACGAGGAATTTGAATACGAAGTAATGAGTGCCGAGGGAATCGAATTTGAAGGAAAAAATACCTCCAAAAAAGTCCGGAATTGATTCCTTTTTGTTAGATGGCTACAAATCAGGGCTGAGAGAAGTACGTGTCTGGACATGTTCGCAGCAACTACTGGCCCCAAGGTCAACCCTATGTTGCTACAAGTACCAGGGGGGTGGTCGTGTTTTGTTGAGCTTTAAGAGCGGTCGTACTCGCTTGAGCCCCATGAATTCACGTGTGGAACTGAGGTGAAACTTGAGTTTTAAGTGAGACAACATGTAAAATAGGCTGGGTTAGTTTAGGGTGCGTTGTGTGAGCAGGAGAAAAAATTAGCCCCTCTCCCCGCTCGAGAGCTGTTTTGGAAGGAAAAGTGGGCGGAGTTCGCTGTGTCGACTGATTACACAAGCAAATACTATTATACATAGAGAAACAGTCATGGTGGTGACGGTGGTGGTTGAAGTGGGAAGAAGCGTGGTCGCGCTGAAACAGCCTCTTTAGTCTCATGGTGATGGTGGGGTCGTATCAAGTCCCCCATTGAGGGGAGGAGGGTCGTGAAAATTCTCAAAAGTACCAACGTTAGAGTCGACCCTGACTGGTCCCATGCCGTAAGTTGGTAAGGCAAAAAAAACTAGCAATGAGAATTGACACTTTTTATTTTGTTTTTACTTCTGTTCATCTGTGCTTTCTTTGTTTCGCTCCCATCTTCAAAATTTGACTTCCACGAGAATTTATGACAACATTCTCGATAATGGTCGTAGCATAGGCTTTGACGGTGAACTTTGAATTTCAAACCCGCTAAATATTCTCCTAGACCTTCTGAACAACAGCTTGATATCTAGCGTTTAGGGGGTTATTCGAAAGGTCACGTTGGTAGGCGGGCTAAACGGGGTTGGGACGGCGTCAATGCTCCGTCCTTCGCTCTTACAAGGGAAGTCTTTTAGGGCAAAGTGCGCTTTTTCAAAACGGTTTTGTTCATACTGAAGTGACGCATGTAGGGAACGCGAAACCACATTTCATTTTCGCTGAGCGGTTACAGCAGTACCAAAAAAGGCACATAAGGTACTGTCAAGGCTTCAATCCCCCGTGCCGACTGAATTTTGCATTTGAGTTGCCTACGGTTGGTGCCAAATCGCGTAAAATATCGAAATCAGACGTCAAATTCATCGTCAGGACCATTTTAAGGCAGCAGGAAGCCGCCAACCTTGATTTCAAAACTTAGTAACCGCGGTGATTGAACCATCAGGAGTATTATTCATTACCTTTTTGATACTACTAAAACCGTTCAGCGGAAGCGAAGCATAGTTTTGTGGTTCATACATGCGTTCCTACAACACGTACTGAACCTTTCCAAGAAGCACCTTGTCCTTAAAGATTTTCCTTGTCAGGGTCCCACATGTTGGTCCACCCTGCCACTTCTGTACATGCTCCGCGCTTGCTCACCACTGCATATTTTACGCAAAAAGCTGAACTTCACCAGAAATCCCGAGTCTGCCTTCAAAAGAAACGCTCATTGTTACGTAGCTGAGGTGATGCGTAAAACGACTATAGAATTCGATTGAGAAATGATGCCAGCCTGCTCACTCGACTAGTTCTCTCCTCATACCACTTGATTGACGACTGATGATAATGACGATAACGCTTATTCATAATCCGACGTCAAAAACTTTTGGATAGGAGTCAGTTGGTCATCATCCACTTAATCATCCCTACTATATATAAAACGCTATGTCTGTCTGTTTCTGTGTATGTATAAATGTGTGTGTCACGAAATTCATAGCGCGAATACCAGCAGTTACACGGACCTGATTTCAGGATATGATATAAGGGGTGGGACGGGAACATACTTGGTGGGGAGCAGAAAATGATGACGACGGATAAGGGCTGATAAAAGGTGCAAGAAGGCAAATGTCGCGGACTTCACAGCGCAAGGCTCAGCAACATTGAGGCGTTGCTTTGCAGATATGATATAGGCGGTGGGATTGGGACATATTTGCTCGGAACCAGAAGGTGATCAGAGCTGATAGAGGCTGATAAAGATCGTTGGAAGGCGAATGTTCCTACTAGACGCGTGATAAGCAGAAATCTTATTTCTTCGCGATACGTCGTGATCCAATCGACCGCTAATCTTTCCGAGCTTCTCAAATGGTCAGTGTGTGTGCAACTGCGATAAGGATCAGTATTCCTGTCTCATCACCGGCATAAGAAGTTGATCGACCACTGAACCATTCCATCGTCCTAAGCATGGTACGGAACTTGCCGTAAAAATTGCAAAATTCACGCAAAAAACGCGATTGCGTTTTTTCGTTTTTCGTTATGACTCGATTTAAAATCAAGATTTTCAAAATCTGAAAACAGCATTGAACTCAGCTCGTCGAATTCTATAAGAAACTTCCTTAAAGTTTCAACCATATGCACTATCTTGGATTGCGCCATGCACTCTATTTTCATCTCAAGAAGTAGTTGCTCGCATGTGATGTGTATATATTCCCGCTTATGCGAGCTGACCACCACACAGAGGGAAGAGTCTCAAAACCTACCTCGGAATGCGCCACGTACTCAATCTAATCCTTTACATTGTGAGATTAGATGATTGTTATTTTCCGAATGCCCTTTGCCCTTATTGTGTGACAAGTCCCATCTTTAGAGGAATGTTTTGTAGAAAGCAGCGGAGTTAGCGACGAATTTCCTTCACTAGCATAGACTATGGTTTCCATCCGAACTCGCAGACCTGAAATATGCCCCATCACATTCCCGGTGAAAAATGCTATCAAATGATTTAATTACTATCCGCAGTTGTAACTTTGATTTTTCAAATTTCTCAGCCTTCACTCTATTACCCAGTGCCTTCCCCAGCCCTAGGCGGCCACGTGCGATTCACGTGAGAGGTGCGTGACGCCGTTCCCACCTCGTGCAGCAGCCATAGCGACGTATCGATCGGGCCCAACTACGGCCGGTGTCCGGTCATCACGTGTCCTCTCATGCACCGCGCACGTGAATCGCTCGTGGCCGCTGGGGAAGGCGCTGAGTAAAATAGAGCGAAGGCCGAGAACTCTGAAAAATCAAAGTTACAATGCGGGGAGTAATTAAAACATTCGATAGCATTTTCCACGTGGAATCTGACGGGGCACATTTCAGGTCTGTGAGTTCGGATGGAAATGCAAAAAATCTGATCTATTCTCACGGGCATGATGAAGACGGATATTCTCGACCATCCCACGGAAGGAACGCTCACCTGCGACCGAGTATTCCACATAGTTCTTACAAATAAGTGACCATAGTCTATGCTAGTGAAGGAAATTCGTCGCTAACTCCGCTGCTTTCTACAAAACATTCCTCTAAAGAAGGGACTTGTCACACAATAAGGGCCAAGGGCATGACAAGGGATGATGTTTGAGGCCACACCCCGGAAGAAACGCTCACCTGTTACCGAGGCTTCCATGTAACTCTTACAAACAAGTGCGTAGACTACGACAGTGAACGAAATTCTTCGCTCTCTTCACAGGTTTCTGCAAAATATCTCCTCCGAAAATGGAAAATGTCACATAATAGGCCCACTATGCCTGCTGAGAACTGTTCAACGATTCCACTCGATATGAAGTGGATGGGATATTGAGAGCAGAGGGAACACGTAAAGCCAGTAAGCGCTTAAGAACAAAATGAAGATCTAAGTATTCTGAAAATAACATTCATCTAATCTCACAATGTAAAAGACCAGATTGAGTACGTGGCGCATTCTGAGGTAGGTTTTGAGACCCTTCCCTCTGTGTGTCGGTCAGCTCGCATAAGCGGGAATATATACACATCACATGCGAGCAACTACTTCTTGAGATGAAAATAGAGTGCATGGCGCAATCCAAGATAATGCCTCTGGTTGAAAATTTAGGGCAGTTTCTTACAGAACTCGACGAGTGAGTTCAATGCTGTTCTGATTTTGAAAATCTTAATTTTAAACCGAGTCATAACGAAAAAAAACGCAATCGCGTTTTTCGCGTGGATTTTGCAATTTTTACGGCGAGTGTCGTAGATGGTTACGCTGAGGGTTGATAATATGCAGTCCAAGTAACTGTATTGCTTTCTTCAACGCTTGGGCTGCTAGACTGTTAATTAAAAAAAAGTGTGGATGTTCACTGGTATTGACAAACTGTGATAAATTACTGCTCTATCATCCGATTTCCTTACTACCATCACTTAAATCCATTGAAAACAATATGCTCTCACTAAAATGGCCCTCAGTTTTACTGAAGCTATGTTGACATGCGCGCGAATGCGGGCGTAGCAAAACTGGCTTTAGTATACAACACATACAGATTGTGACCACCTAATTTGAATCTGATCTTTCAGGTCTACTACACAGCAAGCGATTCCGGTTGCCCAGCAGGAGACAGCAAATACGGACACTTCTTATATTTGCGCAATGTCTACATAGTTTGGTTCGACAAAACTTCGAGGCTTATACTTAAGAGGTCGATGATCGGTCGCAGTGTTCCCTACGTGGGGGGTGGGGTATATGTCGAGTACAACGGACCAGTCGATCCCAAAGACTTGGGCATCGGCGTTTTCATAACTATAATTCGGACTGGACGCGATCGAGACAATGAAAACGTAATTATGAATGGCAAACTTGCAAAGGCAACACTGGCAGGTGAAGATGTATATCCGCCGTCCGGCAAGGGTAGCGATTTTTCGCGAATGTATTTCGAATATCCATATAACTTAAGAGTTGAGATTATCGAAAGGAAAAAACAAGACGATAACTACAAAAATGTGCTCTTGTAAGCTATTTTTTAATAGATAGATATACCAGCGTGAGGAAATACATAATGTTTCAGAAACTACAATGCAACACGATGTGCGGAAACTGACAGATGGATCGCTAATCAGGGTTATTACAAGCTTAACGAAGTAACTGGTGTGTGGACTCCTGTATATTACGATCCCACAGAAACGGATTTTTACTATCGTTAGCTAAAGCTTAATTGTTGGTGCACAGTTGCATGCTGCAGATTAAATAAAGGTCCTGTTTAAAAAGGAAGCAATCGAAACGGCCCACAATATTGATGTTGCAATTGCGCCTGCGATGGGATTATTTTCGTGATTGCCAGTTTAGACAAGTCACCTTCCATGACTTTACAAAAATGTCAACGGGTGAAAACTGTGATTCCTGGAGTTATATTCTCTACTTCGTTCATGCGAACTTTGTTTCCTGGCTGGAGTTCTTCCTGCTACTTCGTTCATGCGAACTTTGGTATTGGTACCTTTCCTACAACTCTACTACCTGGAAGACGTCATCATCAAGATAAGTCGTTTGGACAGAGCGAGCACCTAAAGTAAGGCGTGAATAAAGACGTTCCTGCCGCAATCACGTACATTGCGCTCGCAGCGACGCGCTTTCTGCGGTAGCCATTCTGAAGGTCATGCCAACAACGACGCTGCCCTTCGGTCGAGGGCAGCAATTCGAGAATGGTCGAGCGTCGCAGCGTACGTTCCGCCGCGCGGGCGGGAGCCTAAGCGCCGCGCGCGAGCGTGTGACCATCCTTCACCACCTATATAAACGAACAAGCCGGATTCAACAGTCCGGTGAGTGACCGCTACCGTAATCCACGTTGGCACTGGGCGCGCGGCTACACTACTGATGTGAACCCGCACGTCTCAGCACCAACATTAGAGGGTGTAGCGCCTCGCTGGTGAGTGCACAATACCCCCTCCACCACAGCCGCCCTTGGGCGACTATCCAATAATACACGCAGCACTCGCCTCGCCGCTTGCGCGCTTCGCGCGCAGGGCAAGGGAGGTTAGCCCCGGGAAGCCGGCAGAACCACTTGCCGGCACATTCGACCTACTGCCACACTCCTCCTATATACCAGCATGGACGCTCCGTACAAGAGCCAGGTTCTATCACGCCCATTCTGTCGCCGTAGAGTGCGCGGAAAAACGACAAAAGGGCACGTCGAATTCTAATCAGGGTGAATATCGCTTGAGGATTCCTTATCGGCACGTCGAGGATTCTCTGCCCGATCAGACACGATCTCTCGCGCGGACATTCACACTCGCCGGGGCGTGCCGTCTGTGCTCTCCGCGCGGATGTTCACTCTCGACACTACTCTCGCATGGTAGAGAGCTATGGTCGAGGAAATCCTCGACCGTTATCACCCTGATTCTAATCAACACGTGACGTTGCGCGCCAACCAGTCACGTGTTACGGTTGCGGTCACTCACCGGACTTTGTAATCCCACTAATTATAAACGATGCTTAGTACAGTTGGCGAGTTTGCTCGAAGCATTCTCTCTTTGTTGAGAGCGCAGAGAAAACGAGGGCGAGCACACGTTTCAACGCGTCAGTGCGTCGCGCATAGTACGTGACTACAGCAGAACATTATAATTTACGCCTCACTGCAGGTGCTCGCTCTGTCCAAACGGCTTATCTCGTCATCATCTGCGGTGAGTGTTCTGCACTCGACGCTCTCCTGGTTTTATGAAGCTGAAGGCAAGTACATGGCACAGTATTAATCGAGTTCAAACAGAGTTGGAGGTAGCGGCTGCTTCTCGGTTAAAGGACATCCCTGACATGGAAATAAGTTTACATCGAATGTAAAAATGAGGAGATTGTTTTGTAGAGTATACATTTCTCTTTTGAACGGTACACAACGTGATGTAAAAATATGGGACTTTAGAGGGGGTATTCCTACTCGAAGGGAACTCCTTGTGTGTCCACACGTGTGGAGTCTGCACCGTAGTGACCTCACCTCCTCTAGCAATGGAGGTGACCAACATTGCAATTCTACAAGAGTGGTTTCGACGGCATGACGTGCTTCAAACGGGGGATCAATTCAATTGCAAGTGCTAAGTGTCTCCAGAAACTAGGGAAACGTGTGAAAAAAAAAACTTCACAAAACAGAGTCAGAAATATGAACGAGAAACTGGTCAGATTCGAAGAAAAATGGAGAACGTTGGCCCTATAAACAATGTACTCGTTAAATAATTAGGCCTTTTTAGCATTTCAACAAATCTTCAAAGTTCCAACAAGGTATGAACTTACCTAGCATTAGCATTTGCCATTGATCAATCCTTTGTTGGAATGGTGGCCTATACAATGACTTGTGGGGGCCAGAAGATGTACAAGTCATTATCCATATCCTCCCAGACAAGTCTGGTACCAACTAACCGACCCCGGAGGGATGGAAAGCTCGATTGACCCGTGGCTACTCACGACCAGAGTCAATCCTGCGTTGCGCATTTCGCAACTGCACGTTGAGAGATACTCAACGCACGCTGTACGGGCGGAGACGCAGACGGCTCGAGCATGCGAGTGTGAAAGTTCGCGCGAGAGAACGTGTCTAGTCGGGCGAAACTGCGCAACGTCGCCGTTGAAAGCTGCGCAACGCAGGGTTGACTCTGCTCAGGACCTATGATTTGATCGCCGGACCGCTCGCGCGGTAAGCATGCCACTTGCCACTACACCACTTCCGCCCGTACTATCTACCCATACGGTCGATTATTCTTTTGAATTCGGGTTCCTCTCGAGTATTCGAAATTTACTTGCAAAATCGGTCATTTGAGGGAATTTTCACTAACGCATTTTTTTCATTCTTCTCTTGTTCTTCCTTCCAACAATAGTGTGCTGCTTCAGTAAAAAGAACTTGCCTTTAGGAAATATTGGAACGTGAACAGATTCAAACCAACGGAAAAAATGTTACAGCCGAATTGGCTAGAGTTTATTTTCTGCTCACGAGAATTTGGAATAAATGGGTTCTATGAAACTGCGAGGCGGAGCATTTTAGAATTGCAAAACAATTGAAATGGCCGACACAGTACGATTTGGGCTTCAATCCGCTTTTTCATCGAGTCAGTGGTGCGGCGAGGGTGCCATCGAAGGTGCAATCGGAGAACAAGTGTTTTTTCTTGAAATTGATACTTGGCAATAAACAAATATTTTTCAAGCACTAATATGCGTGAATTCCTTACACAATGGTCAAAACTGTGCAAAAAGTGACGCGCACGTAAGTTTTTGCCATCTGGGTATAGCTCTTTCAAAAGACGAGAAGAGCGTCGAGTGCAGACCATACAACACAAGTGACGACAGCCTCCACAAAATGCAAATTTTTTTTGCCAATGAAACGATCGGCCTGATGCAGTTGTATTCTATCGGTTGTCACCAATTACTGCTATCATTTATCAGAAATCGGCTATCACTATGAACCACTACTAACCAGATTCACTTAAAGGCCGTCGTCGCATGTGGTGTGTGGTCTGCACTCAACGCTCCTCTCGTTTTTTGAAAGGGAGGGTATACCCGTATGTAGCAGTCTGCATGATTCTAAGCAGGAGTGTAGGCCTAGAAAAATATCGATGGCCCTGTGTGATATGCAGTGGGATACAACAGGATCAGGGTCAATCGTCCGTTGGACTTTGTCCAACGAGTGGTGGGAGGGGGTCGTATTTGGGGTGGAAAAAGGGGGTCGTATTTTTCGAGGTAGCGCTAATGTTTCAGTAGGGGAAATGATGATGCAGTTGGTTGGCGCGCTGAAATTTTGCCGCTTCAGGGTGTATATGCCCATCGCCCACATGATGGCGATGGCAGGTGAGGGTGGTGGAGGATGGTCGTGAAGGGTTAACCCTGAGGAGAGGTCGTATCGAGGCCCTCTAGAAAGGGGGAGGAAATCGTAAAATTTTCGAAATCGGTCCAACGTGACGGTTGACCCTGAACAGGATCATCGATATTTTTCTAGACCACCTCCGCCCACCGCGATGCAATTACCACCTCCAACAACATTTCACCCTCTTCCTTCACCGATCTCTATCCTTTCTTCCCGATCTCTAAACCCTTTTGGAAGCTAACAACATTTAAACCACCCCCAAAACGTATCGACAGCGCACAATAATTGCTGCTTGCCTCTTTAGATGCGAACTGGGTGCGGGCCAATCCGAAACATTGACTCGGTTAAGGCTAAGCGAATGTTCAGTGGATCAGCTGCAGTGGATGGCGGCATCGTCGTAAATGAAGATGAATTTCGGTGGGAGATCTTCACGTAACGGCAATAGTTAATGATCAGCAAGAAGATCCTGATAGCCGGTGTAGCCCGTTTATACGGTACGCGCGCCAGAGAGAGAACACCACTGTTGCACAATGCAGCCTGCTATCCGTCAAGGAAATTCATCCGGCTGAAGACCGGTGGATCTTTTCTAAAATACCTCCATTAGCTGTGATGCCCATCAAGCCTGCATCATCCAATCGGGGATTCTAAACTTATCTTCAAAAAAATTCAACTACTTATCATACTGGAAGTGTTTCTTCATCCTGCGTAACGGCTTCATTTTGTCCAGAACTCCAGAGGAACCCTTCATGGGAGGATCCCACGATCGGATCAATGGTGGAAAAATGATAAATATGCCTAGTGGAAACGCAGGCGGACGTCCAACGGTACGGGACGATAAGAGTTTCGCAATGAAATTTGTACCCAGCTGCCGAACCGAACTCGCGACGCTTGCGCCGCTGCCCTCCCATTGGATTACGTGACTACTTAAACTTTCTCCTATGTTCTCTGCCGCGAAAGGCCTGAGCGCAGACGATTAGGAAACGGCTCCTGGCTTGAATCCAAATCCCAAGAAAGAAGGTGAGAGCTCTACGACTAACCTTTGAAGGGAGGAAGGACTTCGAAATAGGTGAGCCAATCACACTGTGACAAAGTTCGGATGTGTCAGATCACAGTAATCATGGGCCGCTGTTTAAGCAAGAGAGCGCAGGCGAGAGCATCAAATCGAGGCAGTTCAAAGGACTGAGTTCAAGTTGTCCGTAGACCCTCCCATTGACTGGCAAACCCCCACCGTCTAGCTCTAGACGCTCCAGCAAGGAGAGCGCTAGCGTAGATGAGCTCAGCACCGATGAGACAACCCAACGTGTAAATTTAAGAGCAAAAAAAAGAGTTCCCATTTCCTTCCTACTTATATCACTGATTTCTACTGGGCTG